ACACACACACACACACACACACACACACACACACACACACACACACACACACTGGGACAAGGTCAGCCCGCTGAAATATTTACTAGCCTCATGTGGGGAAATCTCTGAGGATTATCCCCAATAACCTGTTTAACTTAATCCTTATCTCACACATGAATAATAAATYCCCCCCACCCCTCCACTCTTCATCTTTTTCCCTCATTTCTCTGAGAGGGGCTGAGGTAGTCTCTCACCTTACTCTCCATCACCCTCCCTCCCTTCTCCTCTCCCTCACACAGCCACTCTGCTTCACGAGMGTGAGCTGGCTGCCTCCTCTGCCTCTCCTGTGCCTCTTTGAGCCACTCCAGCGTACGCGCTCTTCCTCTCTGCTGCTTTCTTGTGTTTTCCCCGCGTCTTTCCACAAATCCCATACCTCTTCATTTCTCTCTGTCTCTCTTTTTTCTTTCTCTCTCTCTCTCTCTCTCTCTCCACCTCTCCTATCCTGGGACAGGAAAAAGGAGCAGTAGCAGGGAGCACTGTGGAAGAAGACTAACCACAATAACAGGAAAAGGAAGTGGGCAGTGACCTGTGTGAGATAAGGGCAGGAGCAAGGGGCTGCGGTCAAACAGCTGTGGACTAACTGTTTGAGGCTTCTGGATGAGAAAACCCACATCAGAGGGCGAGAGGAGGAAAAGAAGCAAGAGATTCTGAGAACCTGTTGGATTCACACCTSAGGGAACAAACCTTGACAACCTGAGAAGAGGGAGACAAAGCGATAAGGACCATTTGGGGAGGAGAGGAGCTCCACTTGGAGTGACTTTTTGTTTTTTGTTATATGAAAAAAAGTACTTGAAATATTTGCAACACAATTACATCTCAACAAATACTTGGGAGGTTTTGTACGTTTTTTTTATTTTTACTTATTTGAAACCTAATCATTTTCTTTTGGAAGTACATTTTTGAGATCCACTCTCAAGAAGCATCACCATATTTTTTGATCAACTTTCTTATCGGTTTCGACATTCCAGTGAAAAAGTGGGGGAAAACTCCTGAAAATACACCTGATTTCCACAAAAGGAAGAGGAGTGAGAAGTAACTGGGTGAGTTTATTCTCACCGATTACCTTAACTCCAGTTGTAGGGAACAAGTGCACAGCCCCTGAAGGAAACTCTGCTTCATTTTACAGCAAAAACAACAATCTGACGAGCTGTTCTGCTCCTTAAGGTAAGTTTTCTCTCTCTGTCCTAATTAGAAAAGTAGCACCAAGAGTTGTTTTTTTTTTTTTTTTTTCATTTGCATGATTGGTGTGAGCTGGTGCCAGGCAGAACATCCAGCGCTTCCATGTTCAGCAAATGGGACTGTGAATCTACATTTCCCTGTTTGAGTGAAGAGCTGTGCAGYGCCGCCAGAAAAAATGTAACCCAGATCCCTTGAAAACTGCTCCAGGCTACTTTCCCATTCACTCCAGGGTGAACACTGGTTTTAAAAAAAAATCTGTCTAAAAAAATAATAAATTAAAAGAGAGAAGGTACAGAAATAACTTGAGCTGACAGTGAGAACCCCTTTCAGGACAGGGTGTCAGCACCCGTCACTGCTCACATATGTTACACCAATGATCTCGGACAGTTTGGTGTGGATTTGAATGCAGTAATTGAGAGCTGACCTCTCCCCCATCCTCCACCCCCTCCTCCTCCTCTTCTCCTCTTCCCAGAGGGCCGAACTGTCATTCCTGGAGACAGACGGCTGTGGTCATTAAAAAGATACAAGTTGATTTGTAGACGCGCGCTAAGGGGGAGAGTTTGAACAAAATCCTCCAGGAGGTCTCRAGTTTTTTTTAAGGCGTTCCACAATCACAAGAAAGCGATTCATCAAAGCTGTCAAGTTCAAGTTGGTTTGCTGATGAAGTATTGATGAAGCGCATCAATATTAAAAGGCAGCGAGGATCTTGTCACTTGAATGGTGTCATTTTGTCAGCTGAAGCCCTTCCCTGATCTACATATGCAATGTGTTTGAGACCTAATTTATCAGGCTTCTGTGCTGTGAAGGAGAGGTTAAAACCACACACCTCAGTAGGAGGGAATGGTTTTGAGACTTTTCTAAAACAGCACTTTTTTATCATTTTTGTCCAGAAGTTTGAGGGCATTACCTTTGTTTTCCCTACCCCCTGTTCCTCTGCAGGGGTGGATTTGCTTGAAGTGATAGAAGTGATTTGATTTCGGTTGTTACATGGAAAGCCGTTGATGCGGTTAAACCCAGYGGACTTAATTCCTGAAGAGGGAACTATCAGGGAAAATCCTCTGGGTTGCCATCTGGGAGACTTCACCCCAGCCACACACACACACGCTACAACACACTCACATGTGTACACGCACACACGCGAAGTCAAGATTCATGATTAGAGCTGTTCGTTCATTCAGATATATGTCAGTGAGGCTGCCAAGCTGTCCAGCTGTGGCCGGGGTTAGTTCAGTTGAACTCACTGATTACAGCTGAAAGACCCAGTTAAGGTTTTATTCTTCCCAAATGACCTGCATTCCTCTTTTTATGCGGCGCATGACACTCAGTTTTGATTTCAATTGTTTTGTAGTTTTTCTGCGATGTAGTATTCAGAGAAAGGCTCAGCACAGTTTACGAAACTCATAAGGAAGAAGGAAAGGGAGTGGTGACAATTTAGATCAAATTTCCTTCAAACAGCATTGTTTGAAGGAATGCATGTCGCTCACAGCCTGACATGCCCAAGATTTAAACTGAGTTCACTCTATGTGGAGAATCGAGTTATACATTTTGATCAAACCTGACAAATATCTTTAATTGCGACATCACAGAAATTTTCCAGTATTGTATGGTAGCACTCAATTGTTGTTRCCTCTTAACTACTACCACGCCACAGCCCTATGTCGTTTAAACCAACAGAGTTTTAACCATGTTTTTGTTGGCTGAGTCGGCCATCTTGAATTGAGTTGACTCTAAAAGTTAGTGAGTTGCAGTCATTCATCCAATGATTAGTTTGAGTTTCATTCAGATTTGTCCTGGAGATTATGGGATATTTTGCTAACAAACAGGGTGGTTTTAATGTCAATATGTATGTTAGGGATGACTCTTAGCTATTGCTGCATCAGATTTGAGCTCAGTATCTTTAAAATTGGCTTAATTTTGTGTCTTCTATGTTGCGGCAGCCATCTTGAATTTGGATGTCTCCAAACTGTGGTCCAATGTCTTTTGCCAAGGTGGGTTTTGAGTGGCGGCCATCTTGTATTAAATTGACTCCATTATTTTGAGAGTTCACACACACACACACACACACACACACACACACACACACACACACA